CTCTCTTGAGTGCCAAATCTTAAACAACAAATCAATCAATAGTCCATTAATTGAAAGTACTAAGTATAGACAACACAAATAAACTTAAAAGAAAGCCTAAAAAAAGAATTATTGAAAATCAAAGCATAGTTTCAAATATTGATTACATCAAGATGAGAGATTTAGTTCATAATGGAAGAACAAAAAAATTCTCAAAGTCGTGATTATCTCAAAAAGAAGAAAAGAGATAAAAACTGTTTTTCGGAGCTTGAATCAATCCTCTTCTCATTGTTGCTTTCGCTCAATTGCTTGATCTCTTGATTTCGCCTCATCAAAGTATCGTTGAAAAGTATCCTCCAAAGTTGTATTTATGCATTCTTGAAGTCCTAGACGAGTTTTTAATCGAACTAAAAGAATTAACCCTAGTTGAAACGGCGAAGCGCCGCAATGGTGAAATTGCCTAGCGCCGGTTTCCTGCTTTTCTTCTGCCGGCTGGTGACACTAAATCACCCCGTCTCGGATTGTTTTCCTCTTTGGCTCTTCAAGTGGTGCCTAGGCGCCTGGTTGTGGCTCCTGAGTGCCCTGTTTGTGTATTGAAATTTCATTTTTGCCATTTTTGTTCTCTTTTCTCCTTGTTCATTTCTTTCATCGTTCATTGACTTCTTTAAGCTCTATCAGTTGCGCTTTTCACCATAATACCTAACCTATAACACAACACTAAATCACATATCAAAACATTCTAAAAACTCTTAAGAACGAACAATTTATCAAGTTTAAATGATTTTAATTTTTATGTTCAAAACCTGATAAGCCTTGCAAGGATTAAAAATTAAACATTGTTAATCTTTGATTATCTAATTGCTCATTTTGTTTAATTTTTGTTTTTCGATTGATTGTTTATTATTCTCCTACTTTTTTTGGATGATTGACCACCATTAGGATTTGTTCGTCATTTATGTTTCTTTTGAAAGATTTTGTTTAAATTAACATATGAAAATAACATTATAGAGTCCTAAAATAGATAGATATATCATTATTGCTCTATGAAACCGTTATTTAATGATCTTTTTGATTTAGTACATAAATAAAAATTTATAACTTAATTAGAGATAATTAAGTTCACATATATGTATAGGATTAAATGGCCTCGAGAGAAGGTATTATAATTGGATCATTGATTTTCACCTTAGGCAAGAAAATCATAAGCGTGTAGTTAAGGGTTCAAGTATTTTAATAATGGTGGATTTGCAATCCTAGTGTCTTTTGTGATTTGACTAATCCCAAGAATTAATTGCTTATCCTTAATTTCTCATTTTAATAGATAATTAAATAAAATCAAAATCATTCTCAAAATCATTAATTGTTTATGTTCTATATAATTAAGGCCAGTTTTAATTAAACTAAATAAGTAGATATTGGTCATCGAAGGTTCTTATAATTATATTACTTGTATACAATACATCTACTTACGGGATAAAATCGGAAACAATATTTTGACACTGCTACCGAGGACTATTTATTTACTTTTTGCTTTAGTTAATTTTTTTCTTTTCAGATTATCTACTTGTTTGTCTTGGTATCAATTTGCCGATAGAGAACAAAGAGAAGCAACGAAACGACAACAACACGTGATTTCTTCCCTGAAACTCATAAGGAATATATGTTCGTGGAATATTTTGCCATAAGGCAACAAGCTATAATGGCGGGATATCACTTGACGAGATTGATGTGGATAACTTGTCTTGCCCGGGAGATTACTTTTCCTCCATCGATTGTTAATAAGGATGACTTGCTCTTAGAAGAATTATGAAAACCAGCAGTCACACAGAGTTTTTGTCCCTACTCATACAGCTACAATCTGGAATGGAAAAATAACTCGGACTACTCTAGGTGCAACAACCAAGGTTAATGGGAAGAAGCAGTAGCTCAATTCGCTGTTCAGCGATTGAAGTACTAAGAACTGAATGAATTGAGATGCCGAGTGTCAAAACAACTCTGAAGAACTTGGAGAATCAAATTCTTCTTATTAATGTTATGTTAAAATGTAAGGATGCAATAAAAAAAAATGAAAAATAAATAAAATTGAGGACATAATAAATAGAATGGACATTAATGCAATTAAAATGTGATGTATGTATAAAAATGTGTGGCACCAATAGTTATCTTTATAAAAATGCCCACTTTTGGATACAAAATGTCACATATATCCTTTTGTCAAAAGAAGTCATTTCTTTGTGTAGTCACTATTAAGTCTATCAACTATTGAATTCGATAGTTGGAGCCAACAGTATTGTATTGTTAAGCTAGATTCATAATAATGTTATATATAGATATGGTCGAAAACCCAAATATAAATTTTGACCCAACATCTATGTGATTCTCAAGTCCAAAATACCCATAATACCAGTCAACAAAATTGTTCAATAGCCACTCAACATCAAAAAATAAATAAAATTGAGGACATAATATTATAACGAACATTAAAGTAGCTAAAATGTGGTGTATCTAAATAAATTCGTGATGCCAATATATTGCCCTTATAAAAATGACAACGATTTGATACAAAATGTCACATATACCCTTCTGTCAAAATGGTCACCTAGTCACTGTTTTATAGTACTCTTTGATTGGTTTGGTGCACAAGTTTTGAAAGTAATACAATAACGTCAAGAGAAGCCAAGTTGTACATGTATTTATCTTTATTGAAAACACTGAGGTCATGTTTGATTGTAACGAATTTCATGAAAAATGTCACATTCGAGGAAAACGAATTTTACTTTGGCCGTTTGATTGCAACGTGAAAATTGAAACCGAATTCTGATGTACAACTTTTTTAATCTACATTTTCTTTATTTTCATGAAAAACGAATTCCTATGAGTTTGGTAGGTTTTTATTTTCCAACTAATATGAAATTGAAATTCCTTTCCACCATTGACTATCAAACGGATCCTTGAGTCAAGCTATTTATGTATTAGAAAGCCTAGGCCAATAAGAGCTTTTGGTGATTTTCAAAAACGGTCTATTTCTACCATTCAAATGTTTAATCTTACAATTTAGTTGTCAATTTCTACAATTCATCTCTCAATTGTACGTGTGTCAACTATTGAATTCGATGGTTCAACAATATTGTATTGTTAAGCTAGATTCGTATTAACGTTGTATATAGATATGGTCAAAACCCCCAAATATAAATCTTGACCCAACATCAATGAGATTCTCAACAAGTAAATGCCCACAATACCAGTCAACAAATTGTTCAATAGTCACTCAACATTAAAAAAAATAAAAATTGAGGACATCAGAAATAAAACAGATATTTATGCAATTAAAATGTAGTGTATTTACAAAATTCGTCATGCCAATGTAATTACCGTTACAAACCGGAAACTTATGGATACAAAACATTACATATACCCTTTTGTCAAAATTCATCTATCAATTGTTGAATTCGATGGTTCTCCAATAATATTGTTTGGTTAAGCTACATTCATACAATGTAGAGGTCATTGAAACCCCCAAATGTAAATCTCAACCCAACATTAATGTGATTCTCACAAGTCCAAAATGTCCAAAATACTAGTCAACAAATTGTTAATAGCCACTCAACATCAATTCTATTCACACAGCAAAATGCCCACAATACGAAGGAACACAGGATTAAAAAAGAAATTGAGGACTTCGAAAAGCCCACAAACAAGTGGTTCATATGAAACTTACATTTTTTAACATTTGTAACATAAAGACTTCAATGTTAAAAAAATTTGCACTAATGTAAACAAAAATTAGATGAAATCCATGTAATAAATAAAAAAGAGGGAAAAAAAAACCCATAAAGCTTATTCTAAAATAGAATTTCTTTTTCTGGTACAAAAACAAGTGCGCCTACTAACAAAATAAATGTGGACAAGATTCAACAGTGATAAACTTCTTTTTTTTGGGGAAAAAAAAAAAGAAACAAGAAATGTCCTAGACGAGAGAAAAGAAATGGCCTTCAGGATTTAGATTGAAATTTGGTATCTTTGTAAAGGTATTTCAGTCTATTTATTTCAAAAGTGGCTATATCGTCAAATTTATAAAAGATGACCATATTTCTATGTACTAGAGAAAATGGATATTTTATCCAACTTCCTCTTAAGGAAATTGCTCAGGAAGAAAATCATTCTCTATCCAAAGACATCTTCTATACATCACAACAACATTCATCATCATATAATACCTGCTCTCTTTCCATCCTATAAGTATACTTATAAGAATAATGTTACTTGTATATTAATAAGTTACAGAAACTTCTACAGATAGATGAAGTGTCAAAAAGAGAGTGAAGAAGTATTTTTTTTATTTGGTTGAAAAAATTCTGATCAATCATATATCTCTCTGTTTCTCTCTCACACACATATATACACTTACAAAGATGTACATGTAGAACAACCGAACCTATAAAAGTGAAATATATTCAAACTTGCTACATGTACAGCATTTTTATACAGCATACCTTACATCCCTCTCACATGTATGGTGAGGCCCAAGATCATGGCACCCACCTTATGTGAGATAGCTGTATATTGTACAACATTTAAAAGCTGAACAAACAGCTTTATTGAAATATATTAAGTGAAAATTAAGTTTCAATCATCCAATGTTTACTTATAAATAATTAAATATTGAACGTAGGAATACTTTACAATCCATCTACTCAGCTATTATGCTCTTTCGACTTTGTGTATACATCGAAACTTCATTACTTTCCAACAAGAGACTATCAAAAACGACTTTTTTAAAAAAATAATAATATTAATATTAAGATTGCTTCAAACACAATAAGCTTTAAAGTTGTATACAGTAGAAGTTGATAGTTGGCCATAAGCCAAGCAAGTAGCATACCATAATGCAACCAATTCATAATACGGTCTAGATTAGGAAAGCTGAAAATATCAAATCCATCCTAATGGACCAAGGGAAAAAAGAGGAAGATTACACAAATCAAAATATATGATATATTAGATACAACGAATGGGAAAACTCATTGTCTATAGTAGCCACTCTGGTGGGGAGGCGGATATGGAGACTGAACGGTGTAAGGAGGGCGGGGCACAGATCCAGGTTGCTGAGCAGGTGCATTATAGTATGGGCCTCTCCATCCAGGATATGCGGGTTGGCCATAATCGTGACTCACAGCTGGTTGCTGGTGTTGTGGAGGTGGGTATGGATGACCTGAACCAGGCATGTGATAGGGAGGTGCCGACTGTTGTGGCATTGGTGTAGGTTGCTGAGAAACGTAAGGGGGAGGAGCATGAGAATATGCAGGCATTGTCGACTGCTGAAGTGGCTGGTAGGTTTGGGTTTGGGGATGAGATGAATTCGGAACGTTCCCAGGCTCTGCTGTTTGTGAAGAATTGGATCTTTGAACCTGATGAGGCTGCCCAACAGAGGGATAAGTGTAACCACCAGAACTTTTTCCGTCCTGAAAACTAAGACCTGAAATTTGCCTCTGAACATCATCTATCATTTCTCGACACTGAATGTTTCTAGTCATCACAAAATCGCTGCACTGCTGCTTTACAATATTGATTGCATCCTGTTTCACAGAAAAGGAAAGTAGTAATAAATTTCCTACATGATAAAAATCTAGAAACCTTGGAATGTAACAGACTTCGGATTTTATTCAGAAAAGGTAAACATGATCAAATATCAAATCAAGGAAGTTGCACCGCAATAGCCGCACTGCACACCCCTACGAGTTCAACTTCTCAGTCTAATGCTATAGGTGACCCTTGCCACTGACAAGCAAGAGATGAGCTATTTCACCAACCCCACCTCACCACACTCTGTTTGTGTGTGTGTGTGTGTGTGAGAGAGAGAGACACTCAAGTTTACCTTAGCCACTGAAAAGACGGCAGTAATTTTGAGACTCGGGACTAGTCAACATCTTAACTAATTTACTTTGATGCTTTCTTTTATCTTCTTAACCTCCCTTAAATGCACATCATAGAGTTGTTTTCATATTCAATTACCAGTGCATTGCCAGTTCAACTAAGGCTACCAATTATTCCCCAATATAAACTGGTCTACCTACAACAGAATTTTTGTACCTGAAGAGTAACATAAAATTTCAATCCTTCATTGATGTTCTCCTTGATTTCTTGGAATTTTGCTATGGCAGCCTCAATCTGCTTATAGCTCCTCTCACGAGATGCTGAAAATTGGTAGGGATGTCAACATAAAGCATATTTTACATAAATACAGATTGGAAGCATCAGCAGTGGAATGAATGTTTCAAGTCAACACAACAAAAAGTCAACAACGTCAGATTGAAGAGCCATTTTATTTTAGTCTGTAAGTGTTAACTTGTTATATTTGCTCGTCGTGTTTAGCTTAAATCAATAATGAAAATATTCATTTTAATTGCATGGAACGGGAGCTAGGAAAGAACATGGAAAAGACAAACATGCAGAATGCATACAGAAAGCATCATTACTGTAGCCAAATCTCATGTAAGCCACTTAATGATTGTTCGAGACTGCAAGGATCAGAACTTCAATTGTCGCAATATGAATCATTCGAGACTGCAAGGATCAGAACTTCAATTGTCGCAATATGAAAAGCATGACTCTGTCAAGAGTACTGCAAACAGCTACCAAATTAAGTCCATACAAAAGAATTATTCGAAAGATAAAATAAGTCAAGTCAAAATACATGTATCAACAGTGACATACACAAGGCATTTTAACACTAAAGAAAGATTATCACAAACAATATTTCAACGGAATTGACTACAAAAACAATTACTAAATGCATCTATGGGTACGAAGCAACAAATATACCAAGTAGACATTTATGATATGCATTTAAAGCAATATTTCTCTAAACAAATCTCATGTACCAAGACATACCTTTATAATCTTCCAGATTAAAGATAGCAGCAAACTGATCATTTTGAGCCTGTACAGATAAAGAGCATGTTAAGACAAAAAATCTCAGTGGCATGTACAGCTCTTCAATTAACACAGAAGGCAAGTAAGCAAAAGAAAGAACACTGGAAAGCAGACAAAATATGTGCAAACTTACCACGATACATCCTATGTTTTAAGCTGAAAAAACGTGCATCAGCGCATGCACACTTGCACACAACCAAAACAGTGAATGAAGCCCATTATATAGAATGGCCTTTGCAGGAAAGCCCTACACATGTACCTCTTTTAAGCTGAACTAAAGAAACTCATCTCTAAGTTAACCTGGAAACAAAACCATTTACCTAACTTTGCCCCCAAACTGTGATGCTTGGACTCTTCTTCCTGGCCGGCATACCCGTGTTGACACAACACGACACGGGTAAGAAATATGGGCGGACATTGAAATTTTCAACAAGACACGGCTAGGGGCGGAACTTTTTGGAACTTGGATGATGCCATTGTTGCAGAGTGCATACGACCGTGAAGCTTGAAGGGATTAGGGAAGGAGGAAAGAGTTTGTTGGACTTGAGCCCTTTTTTATTTTTAATTTTGGGCCTCTAGTTTTGTTTTATTTTTTATTTTTTTTAATGTTATCCACTGGCCCACTGTTGCTTTGTACCCACTGGGTTTAAAAGAGAGCAAATTACAAAAACCTCCCATTAGGTTTATTATTTCTTAAATACGGTTTTTGGTTCTTTTAATCTAGTCTAGATATTTTTAAAAAATGGTAAATATTGTTACAAAAATTTTTAAAAATTTTAAATGTGATTTTTTTGGCCAAAATAATTGACAGATAATTATAAAATCAAAATAATTAAATGTTTTAGAACAATTTAATAGCATTTTCTAGAATTAATATTTTTTCAAAACTTGAAAAAAATAGAAGTAATCAAATAATAGCATTTTTTTTATATTGCTTGATTTAATAGCATTTTCTGGGATTTTTTTTTTCAAACTCATGAAATTTAGCCCTTGTTTGACACCCATTTTGTTTGAAAAATAATTTTTGGAATAGTGATTGATGGAAGATTGTGTGGTTAAAAAGTGAGGAGAATTTTTGGGTTTGTGTAATATTATTTTATTAATATAATGTGTGGTTGAAATGAAGAAAGAGAAATAGAATGAGAAAAAAAATGGGTGTCAAACAGGGGCTTATACTACTCGAAATTTTGAAAATTAAACTAATAATATCATAACAATAAAAATGAAAAAATGTTGGCATCAAAAGCTTATAGCCTAGATTTCTTTCTAGTTCAATTTCGTATTAAATATTTTTGATTAATTTTAGTTTTTTTATTTTTTAAAATGTTTACATGAAAAGCTAAAAACTAAAGAAGATTTTTTTAATAAATTCTAGAACAATTTATTTTTGTTCTAAATTGAAATTTAGAATAAAAAAACAAATAAGATAACAAATTGAAGTTAACTTTTTACATGTGAATTTTTGGGGAAAAAATTGTAGTTTCAAAGACATATTCATGCACCCGTGTCCAAAATTTGGACTCTTTTTAATCATGTTCTCGTATTCTAAATTTTAGAAAAGAAAGATCCAATACTTAGATGTACCCGTACCCAAGTCCAAGCATCATAGCCCCTAAATGTCCTCTCTCTTTCAAGACCGTCTGCTGACCAAATCCCTTATTGCACCCACCACCCAAAGACACCATCTATGTACACACAAACAAAACTATCTCCATCACAGCATCACATCCCATCACCTTCCCCATCATCTGCAAAAACCCGAGCCCTTTCTCACCTTTTGCAGTCTGCCACCCCAAAACACCTCTCAATCTTCGGTTACCTTCAAAACTGATTTATAGCAAAATGTGCATTTAATGTTGTTATAATTGTGATGGCAACCCTATTGTTAATTTCATCAATTGATTTAAAATCAACAGGATGCATCTTCACGGATTAATTTTGTGTAGACAGGATTTCTTATAAATAGACGTACTTCTGAAATGATCTCATCATTCAAGAATTATCATTTTTTTTTTCTTGATTAGTAACTTTATCCTAAAACAGAACTTTTTATTTTCAGCAATTCATGTAAGAATGAGTCGGTAAAAAAAACTTATGATTTAATGCAATGGGATATATCTATTTATCTATCTCTGGACTCAAAATGGGAGCAGGTTTGAGAAAGGATCTTAGAGTGCCTTGGTGGTTTTTGATAGTTGATATTTTGATCTTCTTTATTGGTTATTTTGGATGATTTTGTTGTGTAAATCTAGAGAAGAGGGTGGTAGTCATGGTGATGTCACATACATTCCTTATTTCTTTCATACTTATACAATCAAATCAACCGCTGGGAAAGGAGTTTCCTGTCTTCTGTTTGGCTAGAACTGTATCCTGGGTTAAACAACCTTTACATTCTAGGCCATTCCAGCCACCAAACAAGGCTTATATTTTCCATGTTGTACAACTTCTTATCCTGCTATTACAAAATTTTGATCTCCTAACTTGTAAACCTGGTAATTTTATCGCTCGTGTCCGTACCCCAAAAAAGCAATTTAACCGCAATCTTTCATTAGCATCAATATCCTTCCAAGTCTCAAACCTTTATTCCCTTTTAAATGCAAAATCAGATTCAAAAAAATGGTTCAGATTATAGAGAAGGTAACCTTGTTATTATATTTGGCATTGAAGTCCAGAATTACTATTTGAAATATAACAGAAAAAATGATGTCACATACCAAAACATTTAACCAGACATGCCGACATCAAATAAAAGTTTAATGTAGATGACCGTTTTCATTAGAGAATGCAGCTGGGAAATGAAATCCTTCACATGAGAAACTAAAATAGATACCTGAATTTGCATCAGCAGTTGTTCTTGTGCCACAAGATTTTGAGCGATTTCTTGACAAATGTGATCATACTTTGAAATCTCCTTTCTGAAAAGATCCTCATAGGAGCCAGTGGAAGTCATCAACTTGGGTAGTATATCATCCTGAGAGAGACACCATAAAAGGATTTGCCAAATGACATATTAAATTTAATAGAAAATATTTACTAGATAGCAAAATCTAAGTTCAGGGCATACATGATAACAATGTTAAATATCCATAACAGTATCAAATCAGATTAATGACAACTTTTAAATGCCAGAAGCTTGTATAACAGGAATATTTGTTCTTTTTCTTTAAAAAATAAAAACTATAATGTTTACTCAACAAGATTTATGATAGTCCATATATATCAAATTAAGCAGATGTTTGGCTCATGTTTTATAAACTATTTATAAACACTCAAGCTACTTTTTATCCACACATTTCAAAAAACCCACAAGTGCTACAAGTCTACTCATGCTTCCGTTGGCACTCACGCCAGCTATCACTCCGCAAGACGCCATTGTCGTTCCTGGTTAGCTCTCGTGTTGCAAAGGGTTTACTTTTGCTTTATGAAAACTTCACTATTATATAAGTGTTCTCGCTTCTAAGTTGAATTTCATTTTAATTCCAAAAAACTAATAATAGAAAAACATTCAAATACATAATCATCACAAATACAAAAATATCCTAAATACGTTGCTAATCTAACCACATAAAATTATTTTCCCCGTCACTGAACTACTCTACGGTAAAAATGAATCTTAAAAAACCTTGAACAATCTCATGATGCCCTCTCACATGTTGCCAATTTTTAGACCGATACGACGGTGAAATTTGATTTAGCTGAATTTGAAGTTCTTATCCACCACCTAAGAGAACAAGTCGAACAATCATCTTGAAATCCGAGAAAACATCTTACAAATGATTTGATTGAATCCTTTATCGTAAGTCAAAATATACACTATACTATTTGTCAAGTTCATAGAAATCCATTCAGGAGCTGGAGGCATAGTACCTAACCCATGCAATCTTGGTCCTAGGCACTACATCCACAATCCAGAACATCTTGACCCGTTTATCAATAATAATCCTACTCGCCATGACCCCCCTTCCCACATTATGAACAACATAGGGACCTTGTTGATGACTTTACTTCGCGAAGTTAAGGTAGATGCTTTTGAATTGATAGTCGCCTACACCCCGAAACCTTTCTTGACTGGCTAGATTCTATCGAAGAGTACTTCGTTTGGTACCAAATGTCTCACTACTAGCGTATTCGTTCGCCAAAATGAAACTTTTCAAATCTACTAAATGCTATTGACAGACAGTTACGTGCACTCGAATGCATAGGACATCATATCACTGAGTGGGAAAATGAAAGCAAAGCTGACTGAGAAGTACGTCTCGTCTTACCATCGATCTCTTATGTCTTAGAGCATCTTCTTGACTATAGACAAAACCTTGACCATGTTTTAGTACATAACCCATTTTGAGTTGTACCGTTGTAGCTTTGCCCGATGAAGTAATTGTCACTAGATTTCTTAATGGCATGTGGCCTGACCTCAAACATCAGGTTCGAGTACTCAACCCTGACTCCTTAGAATGTGCTTCTCTAAAGCCCTCGAATATGAGCGGAACTTTCAGACCGCCTGAGTGGGGCATGGTCCTTTTACTTTTGTTGACCTTCGCTAATCCCATCCTAATTCATCGCTCCTAGTAGTTGCCCAGTATCAACCCAATCATACATGTTTATTGGGTCAAGATCAAAATTTACATGCCTTCGCCCGTGACTCCAGCTTGCATTTTCCGCTATCTCTAGCCCCTTTCTTCGAATGTGTCATAATTGTCATAATCAAGGCCATATTGCCTCTTAGTATCCCAATCACATCCTCGCTGTTGATCAAGAACTACTGTTTCTGACTTTGAGAACGAGTGTTTTACAATCAACCTTGATGATCATTCTAATGAGGGTTATGAAAATAAAGGGGTTGTTGTCTCCATTATGAGATGCATCATCTCCATGTTGACTTCGATTCTTACAAACCTCTATATTCCATGCTTACATCCCATGCAATTCTCGCTCTTGTAAGTTGGTTATTGATAGGGGTAGTACCATGAATGTCGTCTAAATAACAGTTGTGTCCAAGTTCGGTTTTCACTACATGTGCTTATGTATATAATATATATACATATAGAAATTTTATCTACATAGTGACTCATTTAGGAATCAAATCCAATAAGCCCTTTGAACTCATCAAGCTATAAACATGTTGGTGTCAAGGGATTTGTTGACATCAAGCTCATGTTGATTTTTTAGGACAAGAAATATATATTTGCCAAAGTAAGCACTACATCAAAATTGCGATTTAGCAATAAGATATTTTATGACATATGAAAAGTTGTCGCAATAAAAGATTAAGCGCGACATATTTTTAAAATTTATCGCAAAGACTGTGATGAAAAAAATAATTACCAGAGAAATATAACGTGAAATAAAAAGTTGTCGTAATATGTCAAAAGGCGCAATAAATAAAAAAGATTGTCATAAAAAATGATGGAAGGAAGAAGCCAAAATATTTTTTGGTGAGAAACTTACGAAGAAAAACTTTTATTTCTTGCAACAAATTATTTTTGAAGTAATATCTACTTTTTGCGACAATGAATGTTTGTTGCTAAAAATTCTACAGATAGAGGAAAAAAGCACAACAAGAAAAATAACTTTTATAAGGGACAAAAAATGTTGTTGTATGTCTTTCAAAACATTTACCCTAGGTTACGAACTCCGATATTGTCGTAGAGTAAAAGGATATGTAACTTGCAATGCACATTATAAAATTCCTCAAATGCCCGTTGTCAAATTTTTGCAATGTTCTTCGTGCTTCTTTTTTTTATAGTTTGCAACATTTTTTGTTTGTTGCCTTAATTATTATTTTTTTCCAACGGTTAGCGTCTTTATATTTTGCTTTTTTGCAAAAATAAATAATAAAAAATTGGAAAAATTAAGTAGCAAAAAAATATAAAACGACATAAAAAATTGTCTTAATATTTCAAAAGTTGTCACCAACAATATGATGGAAGCAAGGCGCCAAAATTGTGAAGAGATATACTAGAAGTTATTTCAGGCACATCAAAATTACGTTACCGATAAAAATTACACAAAGAAAAGTGTAATGAAAAATTTTAGGACTGATATGCAACTTACAAAAAGTTTAGGGATTGAATTAACACATCTAGAACTTGAATATGACATATTCTTGGATGAATATGGAGATGTGGGGCTCAATGTGGAAGTCTTTGAGATTTTCGGGATCAATGTTAAATATTTGAATTATGGAGTGCAAAAGTCACAAATTGTTGATAAATTGGGGATTGAATTGAAATATTATGAAAATCCTTTCCCAAAAGGCCAAAACGTTTCCGCTCTACAAAATAACGTCCATGTCTCCATATCTCTCATAATGTCTATATCCTTCTCTACCTCTCAACTGAATTAAACTCTTGCTTTGCCATGCAAGTCGCCACTGAATCGGCCAAGACACAACCATCAGCCAACCCCTATTATCTTTCAAGCCCTAAAGTCTTGAAGTTACTTTCGCCAGTTGCCATCCACTGTAGAAGTCAAGGCGCCACTCACCATCGGTCAACCCATCACCGCCGACCAATCCATACCCAACCTTAAGGTGATTCATCTTCTTTTCACAATTAAATTAAGTTTTTCTTGATTTTTATCCATCAATTTTTACAGATGTTATTGCCTTTTAAAGGTCTAAGTGCTCTCTAGTATTTAACTTTTTTTTTGTTATTTCGTACTTTTTTGTCAAACGCTAATTACATTTCGTGACTTATACAGCACTACAATTTCTACAACAAACAAATTGTTGTCATGAAATTTTGCAACAAAATCTCTATTTATGCAGCAACATTCTTTTATCACGATTTTGGTATTTTTTTTATTTTTTTGTAGCAAAGATGTATGATGATGATAATAAAATGCGACCGACCATTTGAGTTTGGCATGTTGGAATAAAATAATATTCTTTACCGTCATAAGATCGTTCATGTTGGATCATCAAGAATTTATTAACTAAAAGCGGAAGCGTACACAAATAAGCCCTTTTAACTCAGTTGGTGGCTTGGGTTGATTAGACTTCATTACCCATCACTTATTGCTATTTTATGCCCCTTAAGTTTGGCCAGTTCAATCAAAAAACATTTATTGTGATATCCTACCAAATAATGATGCTCACGTCCCTTTGGAATGTCCCTCACTTTACCATCACAATGTTAAGCATCTTGGGTGTGACAACACTTTTCAGATTGTCTATAACAGCAAGCTTATTAGCCTTCTTTCAGCCAAGCCATCTAACTTAAGGAAATCAATGCCAAGACAAAACCCGTGCTCTAGCATGATTCGTAAAGGTCACGACTCACGACACACGGCTGATGTTTTCTTTGGTTGCCAAAGCTTGTTCACAATCTTCTTCTGATGCATACATTGGCCTTTCACTTGAGGTCACTCCTTTTCTATAGGAGTTTAGCAATATCACCCATGCTCACCTAGCTAATGAGCTCCCTCCTATGCGAGATATTCAACACGCTATCAATCCAATCCTTGGTACCTAATCATCCCCACTATAGAATGAAACCCACAAAGCGAGTCGAGCTAAATAAGCAAATTGAGGCTTTACTAGATAAAAGCTTTTTCGTCACAACATTAGTCCTTGTGTGGTCCCCGTCTTACCTCTAAGAAAGATAGCTCCTAGCATATGTGTATCGATAATCGGCACATCGACAAAATCAATGTTATCAATTTCTTATTGTGCGCATTGAGGACATGCTGGATGACATGGAAGGAACTTTGTGGTCTTCTAAAATTGATAAGAGTGATGATCATCAAATTAGGTTTAGATAAGAGATGAATGGAAAATGATATTTAAAACTCAGAATGGTTTGTACAAGTGATTAGTTATGCCTTTGGAATGTCTAATGCGCCTAGTACTTTAATGAAGGTCATGAACTGTGTCTTGTGATTTTTCATTGGGAAATTTCTTGTGGTCTATTTTGATGATATCTTAATATATAGTTGGTCCCGAGAGGCACACTTGGATCACCATAGATA